CTACACATGTTACATAAAGTTGGAAATCGCTTCACATTCTGATGAACAGAGAGGTAAATTTTTGTTAAATTGTTGCCCTATACACGTGCAAACAGCGGAGTGCTGAAACCAATAACCCAATTATGTTTAAGGGGATGAGTGACTTGCGTAGTTGGCGTTCCTGTGCGTGTCTTAAAGAGTTGAGCAGCGTAGCAAAAAGAGGTTTGTAACGGAAAAAGCAGAGAAGATCCTTTGCTCGTTTTCCACGTTGCTGTTTCGCCTCACTAACTTTCAACAAGGACCTAAACAAGCGCCAGCTACGCAGGTTATAGGTTCAACTCGTTCTAAGGAAAACGAGGAACAGGTCATTTCGCAGCACCTCCAACGTGATTAGTAACATTGCGTGACCGATTATTGTCACAAGTACAGTTACCTTCCATCCAAGTAACTCGGCTAAAGCAACGCAACCATCATCTGTGGTACCTTGCCACATGACATCCCTGAAAGAAAAAATAGCACCATCATATTCCAAGTGATATGTCACAATCGTTTTTTGTGCATTAATTCAAATTAATTATAGCTGAAGCTAAAAAAGCCTGTAAGAGGCCTTTGGCGGGAACATATTGTCGTGGCAAGTTGAAGACCTGGATTAGCAATAGTTTCCTATACGTCATGTTGATTGTAAACTCTACTGCTCTCACCGATAATTATCCTCACTATCAAACTGGAAACCACTGGCCGGCCCGCCCATCAACAAGCTGAAGAAGTCAGGCTGGAAAAGCAAAGCAACAATGAGCTATTTAACTGAAAGTGTGACGTGTAGCTAAAGCCGATAAAGGGCCTGATGGGCTCACACCTGATTTCCACATTTCTCTTTATTTATTAGCAATCTCGGAGTTGTTGCAGGAACTCTGCAAAACACAAATCAAATTTTTTTATGTTACAGCGTATCACAAAACAGTGTCCCTTGACAATCACAATGCTAACCTTAATATATGACTCTGTAGGTTACTTTTTTTTTATCCGCTCCTCTCCTTTCCCCCCCTCCCTCTCTCGTCTTGGTATGGCCGATTTTTAAGTCTTTGATGAGAGGAGCCCGGAAGTTTCTCCAAAGAAGCCAGCCAGGTTTTGATAGATACCTGCCATCTCTC